AGATACAGGTCTCTTGCTAACTACCTCTCCAAGCATCTGGTGCTGAAGATTCTCTCTACTTGCCAGTACTTGGCTTTTCGAGGCATAACCCTGGTGTCTGGCRTTGTTAAGATTCCCTGCAGCCCTGTACATCAGAGCTTTTACCCAACACCCATCTTCTACCTCAGCCTAGTCATCCTCATACTGTCTGTGTCACAGTTTACAAAGATTTGTCAGACCATAGGATGTCACCAGCCTCCTGCAGTGCTTGTATTCTAGATTTATTTTTGTCAAGAGTTGTGCTGATCTGCTCATCAGTTGTGCTGATTTACTATACATAAAGATGTATACCATCTGAAGATGATACCATGCTAAACTTGAACGATTCTTTAGCTTTCCAAGGAGGGTGGTATTACTCAGTATTTTTTAGTATATTTTTCACTGCTGAATGGCATGTATTTCATATCCAGATCTTTTCCTTTTTTTTTTTTGCTCCTCTTATGCTAGAGCACACAGTTCTGAATTTGGACAGTGCTCTTCAAAATAAAGTGATTTCTTTGGCTGGATGAATTCTACTGTTTGCTTATTTTATTTTATTTATTTATTCATTCACTTTTGACGTTTTATGGTTTCTTTYAGGGATACTGCTGGCCAGGAACGATTCCATACACTTAGTACTAGTTATTTTCGTGGAGCACAAGGATTTGTTCTTGTATATGACATCACAAATCTGGACAGTTTTCAAGGGATAGCAAGCTGGATGAAAGACATACATGAGGTAAATATATCTAACAGTGATCAAATTTTTAATTAAGATAGTGAATTATTACATGAAATTCATTCCTTTTTTTTTTTGTGACTTGAGCTATATGTTTCTAACTACATTTTCTTACAGTTAATTAAGTATCCAATATGGTAGTGATACTTCCTTAGTTTAAAATTTCAGAAATGCTCAGTTTCTAGGAATGTAAGTTGTACCAATATGATTGTACCAGTATCAAAACCAGSAATTAGTGAACATTTTAACTGGAGCTTTATAGTGAAATAAATAATTTAGTCTTAGTGTATTATCAATTTCTGAAGTGTCTCAGCAAAATATTTGGGACTATTCATTGTCAAATACATGCTTTTAAGCAATAACTGTTAAAACACAGAGCATTTCCTGARATTTAATTTCAGTAGCAGATGGTTTCATCCTCTGCATTTGTTTTGATCTGGAAATGCAAACCAATCATGAACCCTCTATAAACATTTGGATCAAAGTGKATGTTACTACAGCACTTGAAAATGTGCAAGGGTAGAAGAAARAAGAAAAAATTAAAGAAGGAGAGGGGGAAAGTGGATGTAGGTTTTAATAATTACTAGGCAGCGATAAGCTTAAATTCTACACTTGAATTAGATTATATTTTGGGGGATGATTCTATTATTACAATATACTMTTTTGAAATTTATGCAGATAGAAATTTTATATATAAAGAGTTAATCTTTATATATAATATATAATGTATTTTACATATTATATATAAAATATTACATATAGTATGTATCTTTATACATATAATTAAAATAACAGTGTATAATTAAAATAACAGTGCATTTTTACAGTAGTTGAAAATAATCAAGCAATTTAACTGAGATTCTCTGCTGATTTTATAAGAACTAGACTGATTATAATCAGATTATCAATAATATTCTCCTAGTACAGACATGAATGTGTTGCAGCATCTGTATTGCTCAAAAATTCAGAAGTAACATGATTGTGTATTAAAAAGCTTATTAGAAAAATATCTAYAGATATTTTTCTAATTTTCACCCACAGATGAGTATTTTAGGACTTTATTGACAAATCCAGTACAGGTATATTGGGTTTGTAATTCACTCATTAAGTCTGTGRTCATTGCAAGAAAATTACTTTAGAGCCTGAGTGCATTCCTTATTTGTGGAATTGCAGTCAAAGTCAAATTTATTAAGTTATTCCTCTTATAGGTCAATAGGCCAATAGGCTTTGTGCTATTGTATATAACCATTCTGAAAGGTTGATTCTATTAGGCCTTTAAAAATTATATAAAGGTCTAAATTTACTAATACACAAAAAACTTCTATCATTTCTATGATTCCAGTAAGGCATTGGAAACTAGACATTTGTGAATGTAATCATAGTGTGGCACTTAGGAAAATATATGGAAAAAGATGTAAAAATCAATATGAACACAATATATGTTCTGCTGTCAAAAGAGATTGTGAGGACCTGATATTACTTACAAATAATCCTTTATTTATAGAAAGCACAAATTTCTATTTTTTTCCATTATCTAATCAGTAGAAAGAAGAAAATTCATGGCTTTAGTGGCCTTCCCAGCTCTGCCTCCATCTTGCTGCATGACTGTGCCTACTTCCATGTCACCTTCCTGTCTTAAAAATGATAGTGATGCCACTTCTCTTACTGTCAAAATGTTTAGTTAGTTTATCAGATCCRGGTTCTGGATGTTACTGTGGACCTCCAAGCAACTTTATGTTCCTTTTCAACCTCTAATCGGTGGCTATTAAGATCATATTGCCTTGCACAGCTGCAGTGAGCAATTCATGGCAGGCTCTGTACTCACTATCTAAGAGTCAACAGTTTCTCCCAATAACCTGTAAGTACGAAGGTGACTTGGTTCTCCTTTAGTAAAGGTGTTTGCACTATTTTTAAATGCTCATACAGCACTCACGTAAATTCACAACACCACTGTGTAATAATCTCTGTAAAACAAGGACAGGTTTTTGGTGTTGCTTGCCATTAATAGCTATGTAGTCAACAAGTGCTGTGGGATACACACGTAGCTGATGGAGTGCCGGGTTAGGTGACAGTTGAGCAGTGCAGCAAGCAGTTAGCAGCACGGATGGCTGCCTCCCCTCGGAGCRCGGCCCGCAGCCTGGCTGCGATTCTGCTTCATGCTGAGGCCTGTGCTCCCRGGCCGGCCGCGGGCACCGCTGCGACCGCGGCGGGAACGCTGCTCCCTCACATGGCCGCCAGCCACAGCGGCCCGCGAGCCGCCARCGCCGGCCCTGCCAGGCCCTGGATCCAGCCGCTGCCACAGCATCCCAGAATGGTTGAGGTTGGAAGGGACCTCTGGAGATCATCTAGTCCAACCCCCTGCTCCAGCASGGACACCCAGAGCACRGGGCACAAGGCGACATCCAGGCGGRTTTGGAGACTTCCAGAGAAGGAGACTCCACAGCCTCCCTGGRCAGCCTGTGCCAGGGCTCTGTCACCCTCACAGTGAGGAAGTTCCTCCTCACATGSAGATGGAACTGCCTGTGTTGCAACTTACTCCCATTGCCCCTTGTCCTGTCACTGGCCACCAYGGAGAAGAGCTTGACCAGGTTCAGCTCCAGACTTAACCCAACTGCTCGGAAAACTTGGAGAGGTTCAAGAGATCTCACAATTCCAACCTGGGGGGAGATGCTTCCATATTGGATATTTTCAAATGAGTATTCTGATTATTCTGCATTTCGGTTAGGCTCAAACCTAAATCCTTAAAAACAAACAAAGGTCAGGAGGGTGAAACAAAAATCTGGGTATTTTTTTTTCAAAGATACCAAAGAAAAACATATTTTTTACTTTTCAAAAAAAAAATTGTTGCAGCTCTTATTGATAATTTTTTTAGAAGTATTATTCCATGACATAGACTCTAATAGTTTAACCAGTGTTGATTTGCACAATAGCATTTTAAAAACTATAAAATAATCATCCTCCTTGCAGCTCCTTTGCATTTGGAAGGCTGATTCCTGAGCTATAAATAAAAGAAGATACAAGCACACAATGAGTTTCTGGAGGCATTGCAGGTCCATATTTATAGCAGACTTGATTCACTGCACTTATGCTGGTTTTATGCCGGCTAAGCACACAGACAAACTTCTGCCTAGTCAAACTGGTTAACCTTTTCAAACTTCATCTGGAGGTTTTCTTGGTAGATATTCATCTTGACACATATTCCCTTTGTTTCCTAAAAGCCAGAAAGTGCAAGATCCTTTCTTTAAAAAATGCAGTGCATTTAGGCTTTGCTGGAAGAGGCAATCAAAAAGAAAACTCATTATTAAATGATAGTTATGTATAAATAAATACATTTTTACTGAAACAAATAGTTATTGCAAGGTTTGGTATCTCTAACCTCCTTTAAATTTTGCATATTACTTACAGCTGTTTAGAAAGAAGATTCGTATTGCAAAAAATATCTGTTTTTTTAGAGAAGTAGATCAACATAAAATTTCATATTAATAGTAATTTTATATTTTTATGCAGCAGTGTTAATGTTAATTTCAAGTTTTCATACAGAAAGTATGTAGCATTTCCCTTTGAGCTTCTACATCAAAGTCGAAAGTCACTGACAAAACCTTCAGCTACGTAAAATCTTTCAAACAAAAAGTTGATTGTGTGATGAGATGAAATTGTTTCTTGATGCTTTCTTAGGGACTGATATAGGCAATTTTATGGAGGGGAACCATTGACCTTAATGAGTAGAGCTCCAGTGCATTGTGAAAGAGCCAACATTTTGGTCTATTAATCCAGGTTAGATTGATTCATTATTTTAGGCCTGTAGTTTGTATTCTTATGATGAGCTTACTTCATTTTAATACTATGTTATCTTGAACATCAGCTGTGCTTATGAAATGAGATTAGCTGCCTCTAAAAGGAGAGTGTATTAAAAAAAAACTGAAAGGATGTTCCTTAATAGTGAATTGTGCCCGCTGCTGAATTCCTCAGATGAAGGAACGTAGTTGTAGAAGTGCAAATAGACTAAAAATAGAGATTCTGTCACCCTTTAATGAATAGTTTTCTCTGCATTTCTCTGAAGGAAGGTATGTAAGTGTGTGCACATGTGTGTTCTGTGGAAAAGGTTTTCTGAACCTAATTCAGGTTTAAGGAGAGGATTCTAAGGAAGAGAGTTGCTAGGGCTTGGGCTATGTCAGTGGTTAAATATGTTACCGCAAATACGCTGCCRGGAGCCTGACCTGCCTGGTTCACTTGTTAGAACTGGGAGTTAAGTCCTTACCCGTGGCTAACCATGCCCCATTTTCAGTGTTTTCCTTTTTCTTTCCTTTTCTTTTTTTTTTTTTTTTTTTGGTAACCTGGTAAGGCCTCTGCAGTCCCGCAGTCCCATTGGGTGGATGGGTGTATTTGTGCATCTCTGTGTCTTTCAGTTTCTCTCCAGAAAAAAATTCAGACCATTAGCCAGTTTTTATCATGTTGGAAGAGAGGCAGAGATCCTAAACCTATATAGGTAGTATAAAAACACCTGCTTTTGTAGAGATGAAAGATTTCATTAAAGTCTTTGTATAGGCAAGATCTGCAGCCTGACACCAGACTTTACCAGGTGTCAGAGAAGCTGTGTGAGCATTTGCTTTCACAGTACAGCACATAAGAAGTGAGACCACATTTGCACTAATTGACTTGAGACTGAGACTCTCAGCTTCTTCCATTTAGGCACAAAAAGTGTTTTTGAATACTATTTTTTTTCAACAAATGTCCATTTGACATTTGAATGGAGCTGTTCCCTTGTCCTTATTGCAGCAATGTATGGTTATAATGGCCTATCTTACAATAACACTGGTGTAAAGCATCTAGGGCATGTCACAGTCATCATGTCTGTAATAGGCTTAGTAGAAAAAAGGTTGGAGACTAGATCAAAAGGCTTGATTTTTTTTTCCTTTTGAAATCAGGGAGATCTTTAAAATGAAGAATCTAGGAGCTAAGAATTTATTAAGGATCTACTGCCTTCTTCCAAGTGTCTTAGAATAATCAATCTTTAATGCTGAATTTGAACAATTGGAATRTGATCTTACTTTCTCTCTGCAAAAGTGAAGCACATTGTGATTCTCTTTCACATGCAGCCAAGTCTGTCCTTTTAGCTTGTGCATACCAAATGTAGAGCTAGTATTAATAGTTAATCCATAAACCTCCTGCTTTAGGGAGGGCCATGTCTATGAACTTGGGGCCACTTTAAAGCCACATTAAACATTGATCTGAAGRTGGTGCCCAGGCACCACATACCATATACTTTTTACCTTTTTTGAAGCTATGTCTTATAACCAGTTTTTTTTCTACTCTTTAGATTATCCTTGGAGTCCTGGCAACTGATGGAAAAAAAAAGATCAGGACAAAGTTTAGCCTTYAATTTTAAGGAAATAAAATGCTGACAGTGTGAACTAAAGGTGAAGGACTTTTGTTGTTTGCTTTTTTTCTTACTTGACATATAGTAATGCTGGTTCTCCTTTAGAAAGCAGGTGATGAAGTGGACGTAGTACTGCTGGGCAACAAGTGTGATAAGGAAACAGAACGTGTCGTTCCAAAACAGAAAGGAGAAAAGGTATGCACTGGTCACTGCTGCTCTCATCAGCTTCTCCTAAGTATCTCCATTTGTAATTATGAGCTGCTATATTAACATATGTTTCTGAATTCCAAACATTCTGCTAGGAATTGCTCCAGAATAACATTTTTTAACGTATAAGCAGAAATATAGTAAATAAGTATGCATTGCTTACTTTAGAATACTGATTTTTATTTTAAAATTTGAAAAAATCTTACAAAAACTCTACCTTAATGCCTACAACTTTTTATTTCAATTTCTAACTAAAAGATATTTTAGAGTTTGCTTTTGCAGAGTGTTATTTTACTGTGGAATGCCAAAATGTAATCCATGATGCATTCTACATCATTTTCCTGGTTCCTGACCTACCCATCAAGGGTTTCCTTTAGCTACAGCCTGACTCTAAAGAACCATCCTGGTGCAGTTTGGATTGTGTTGACTATGAATAGCTTTAAATAATTAAGACAGGTAAATTTAGGGAAGACTCTGCTTTCCTTCTTCCGACTGTGGATCCGTGTTGCACAGTTCTGGTTACAGTGCTGTTTAGACCTGCTGACCATGTGTAGAGGAAGGAGTGGTGAGAGTGAGGAGTAATATATTGCAGGCACTGACAGATTGCTGTCAGTGTGGCCAGGGAGGGCCCAGGAGACGTGCTGTGGCAGAAGCTTTCATGACTAAATGCTCCAGTGTAGCTTGTAGTGCATAATGGTAATTTTTGCAGCTGAAAATTGCATGCAGCCATTGTAAGAAACTTGGACTGAGCACTTGCAATCTTTGCCAAAGCGTGGTGAGTCAGGCAGGATATCTTGTATTTGATGGAACACTGATAATTTCTTGTCAGTTGTATAATTCCAGATTTAAAAAAAAAAAAAAGGGATGCTTTTGAACAGCATTACAAAAAGAGTATTTTGAAAGTTTGTTCACAGTTTTTCAGTGTTAATATATTTTATCTATTTAGGTGTAATAACATTGTTGAAAAATATGTGTATCCTGTCACTCAAAGAATACAATATGAGAAAGCTGAAGCCTTGCTGGCTGCATTTACACAAGAGGTATTAGGGTTTTGCATATGGTCATGACATTTTCTGACTTCTGAGTACTTACCCAAGCCATGAGAATTTCTCTTAACACTGTATTTTTTAAGAAACAAATCATTACCTCCTCACCAGGCTTTTTAGATTTCCCCTGTGTTCTGGGCAGCTCTTCAGTTACACTATTTTAAAAACATGAGAGAAYCTGACTGAGCTGGCTGGAGAGAGATCCCACTAGCAAGGAGAGAGCTAATACTGTCTCCTACTGCAAAGAAGGAAAATACCCAAATTAAGAAGGCAAAGTAGCTTGATGCTAACTCTTGACAGCCAATAATTAATTTTGACATATTTCATATTACCCTAAGAGKGGAAGCTGTAAGTATTACTCTGTTCAGAACCTTACAGAGAAGACTCCTAGATTCCCCAGGAATCTTAYCAAGTGCATCAGAATTGACATAATAATTCATAGTAACCGTGTGGCCAGAGTATTACAGTGTATAGACTAATGCAATTATTAAGTTTTCTTTTATAATTCTGTAATTTTTAATCCCTCCAAAGGTGATATATTTAATTTTAATACTATGAAGGATTTTCTTGTGTTTGTAACTTTTATTCACACACTTTGAGAAAAGCTTGAACTCAACCTTCTCAAGCACCTCTGCTCTACCCAAACCATTAACGTTGTCTTTTCTTCCTAAACTAACAAATAAAAAAACAACTCCCCAGCTCCCAAACCCCTGAGGATCATGTGATTTGATAGAATGTGGCCTTTTTACCCCATATCAAATCTTCCAAAAGAAACAGTCAAATAAAATGTCCTACCTTTACTTACTTTTGCCATTCTCATTTGCCTGATATAAAAACTGCAGGAATGATATGAATGAAAAAATGAACTCCACGGTTCTAGGAATATAGTAAACACATCTCTCTGATTCACTCCTAAAAAATCATCATAGCCCTTTGCTAAGAGTTAATATTTTTTGAGTTAGAAGAATTGAACAATTGCAGTTAAATCTAGTTTTGGAAGAATTATTGACATTATTTATGTTGTTACTGTATCAGCTTGGTTCACTCAAAATCTCCAAGCTGTTCTTAAGAGTAATATAAACYTTTCCCAGTAGCACAAGAATTTCTCCAGTACCCTCATTTCTCTCAGTTTCAAATGTATTCAGATATTTTCTTTATTGATCTATTTCAGGATGCTCCCAAAGGCATACAGAATAGTTCTTTCTGTTTTCCTTTTCCATTTCTACGTAAGCATCTGAGCCAAAGCTCTGTTCATATTTGCACTGCTTTAATATTGGCCTGCTGGGTTTATTGCCTCAGCCTGTGAAAGGGTCGTGGAACGTGTCGTCATGGGATCCTTTTTCCAAGTATCTGAAAGACAAGAAGGTGATGTGGTATGGTCCACAACGGGCAGTTTGTGTTTGACTCCTGTGATTTCCTTCTGGAAATAACTGGCTGGGTGGACAAGGGAAGAGTGGTGGAGAGGATAGGTCTTGAATTTAGTAAGGCTTTTGACACCAGCTCCCATAGCTAGACAAATGGAGCAGGTGGATAGGGAACTGGTTGGACTAACAGATGCAAAGTGGAGATAAATTCCATTGCAAACAGGGCAAAGAAGGCATGTGAGGCTACATTAGGAGGGTAATGGGCAGCAGATAGGGGAGATTCTTGYCCCCCTTCCTTGTGCTAGCAGGGTTGCATTCGGAATACTGTGCCCATTTCAGGAAGGATGTTGAGAAACTAGGGAGAGTCCAGCAGATGGCAACAAAGATGGGTATGGTCCAGCATGGATAATCCACGAGGAGAACTGAGCAAGTGCCTCAATTGCATTTTGTAAAGTGCTGCTTTTCAAAAGTTGCTTCTGAAAGAAAGCATAACTGCAGATATTATAAGTGGATTTGTTTTTGTGCTAATGCAGTGGCTTCCAACTGAGTCATTTAAGTGGTCAGTAATCACAGGATTTTATATACATTGTAAATAGGGTATTTTTTGGATGGGATCATCTTCTCTAGATGTGTAGAAAGAAGGGATACTTTGCAATGATGCAACTGTTTTTCTTTTCTCCAAGATTTTAACTGTGTAAATTAGGCGAGGGTGGGGATGCTGGAAGGAAGGCAATTCAGAACCTTCAAGATCCTAAAAGGCTGTTTGGTTGTGTGGGGTGGTTTTTTGTTTGTTTTGGTTTTCATGCTAACATATCTACAAGCTGTCTGGCAGCGAAATTTAATGGGGGGGAAATGAGTAAACCTATTACATCACCCAATGTAAAGTCTGTGTTGCCCTTTCTCTCTTGTCCTGTCATCATAATACTTTTTTAACATAAATGTCTGTTCTTTGTTTGGTTATTATCTCTTCTCTGTGGTGACCTTTTTTTTTGTGGGGGAGAGAAAGCAAGATCTCTTTCACACCTCTTTTTCATCACACCTCTTTTTTTTTACAGCTTTTGTCGTGTTTTTATCTATACTTTTCTGCAGGCATGCCATTAGTTTTCTCTGAATTGCCTAGGAGACAGTTCATTTTCTGAATAAAGCAAAACACAGATTCTTCCTGTTGTTCTTCCTGTTTACAAGAAGGATAGGCCAAAAAGCTGTTTCTGAAAATGCTAATATTTCAGAAGAATAATTTAAGAGTTACCTAATATTAGTAAGCTGAGGATGAATATCAAATACCCTACTGAGCTGGTATTTACTGAATCACTTTATATAACACATTTAGAAGCTGTCAGAATCACCTCTATATTTATTGCTAATAGTTTTGGGAAGATTTCTTAAAATACTGTTTTTTTTTTTTTTTTTAATTCCTAAAGGCTGTTCATCTCATTGCCTACATTTATTTTTTCAGCTTGCTTGGGAACATGGAATACATTTTTTTGAAACCAGTGCTAAAGATAATGTCAATATTGAGGACGCATTCTCAACCTTGACTAAGGATATCCTGGAAAAGGTAGGCTCTTTTTCCAAGTAGAGTGAGAAAGTGGGGCCTTTTTTTTATGTGTAGATTAGGCAGGCAAAGTCAGAAGTACAGAAAAAAAGCCTTTGCAAAGCTTTGGCATCATATAGTTATATTTTTGAAGGATCCTGTAGCTGTTGCCATACAAGGGAATTTGGGGAGAAGAATCCTGGGGGAGCAGAACAGTGGAGGAAAGGAGCAGGCAGAATATGCTTCAAGGAGATGAAAATTAAGGAAAAATGCCTTTATGGCTTCCCTATCCATGTTTCTTCTTCAAGAGAGGGACTCAGAGCTGTAGYATGGTTACAGTTCTGTGCCTGGAAAGTATCTTTTTCCTATAGGTTTCCTCAGGATTATAAAGAGGCTGTGAGCTGATGGAATGAGTGGATCTCTTATGTTCAAGTGTCAAGTGTTTTATCCAAAATTCATGGCTGTTTGTTCAGATGATATCCATTAGTGCTGTTGGAGTTATTAGGCCCTAAAGATGTGAATTAATTAGTGATGGAATCACCTCTGTAACCATCAGTGTCAGCATCTCTAACTACTTAGGATATGTTGGCATCGAGGTCCCTACTACTGAGAGCTGTAATATTTATACTGGACTGAATTATTTTTAATTAGCTATGAAAATGTTTTGGATCACAATTTATTTTTAGACAGTAGAATATTATTTTAGACACTAATGGATGTTCTTCATGCAATGTATTATCATTGCCATTCATCACCAGTATTAGTTATACAAAACTAGCCTTCCATTCAGAATACTCTTGAAGTCATAATAAAGATAAATGAACAAAATTACAGGCAAAGTCACAAGTTGCAGTGTTTTGATTAAGTAGCCAGAGGGGATGGTCAGAATAATACTTTGGGGCAGAAATGCTTCTAAATCAAGGTCCTGTCATACTACACAAGAGCACAAGAGGTAGTTGGTTATTTATTTTTTTTTATTATATACTTTTGACTACTTAGCATGAAAATGAAACTCGGCAGCTTACTGTCAAATACTGTTTAGAACAGAAAGATTAGAGCAGCCCCTTCACTAGTGGGCAGAAAGTCTCAAGTCAGATAATTCTGATTTTCTCGGAAACAAAAAAGACGTTGCTGTAAGTGGAGAATACATTTGTTAGTGTGAAGCATGAAAGCTACAGAGAAATAACTGTGATCATAACTGCTGCACAGACAATATGTGCCCATCTAGTATTCCTGGACAGTGTGTTTTGGTGGGATCTGAGGGAGTAGAAATCTGCACCAAGTAGAAATGATGTTTGGGTATTTTTCCCTCCTAGAATGACTGTGTTCCTTTTACTTCAAGTGGAACTTGGGTTTTGCTACTCATCTCCATGAAAATCCATGTTTTCTACATGAATTTCAACATGATTTGGRTCATGTTGAAAATACAGTACTTCAGTGTGAGTTTTATTAGAACTTCCTGAGGATACAGTTGTACCTGTGTATGTGTGTTTGCAAACAATGTCTATGAGGATTTGGCAAATTTGTCTGTAATAACATTCACCCTACCTAAAAATGTTCCTAACCTCTCACAGGGCCTCCTCTGCCATTACTTTCCTGAAATATTTGTCATTTTTAGGGAAATGCATTTGGTGAGTTAGACAAGGGCTCTTTCTGGTTCTCTACTGGCCCGATATGACAGAGTCTGCAGTAAATAAATAAATAAATCTGCCACACGGTTTCATCATGGTTTTCAGGTTCAACAAAATAATTTGCTTGTTCACAAAACTGTGAAATCTGAATGTACTGCTTGAATTTTAACTTCCTTTAATGGAGGAAAACTTGGAGAAGGGAAAAAAGTGTGACCAGTAGCTGTGAAAAATGCTATGGGAGATGCCAGTCTGAGCTCACTGCGGTGGTACCCCCGCTGTGTGAGGGTAAAAGATGTGGTGTTTTGACCCAAGACACCAATGTCTGAGGTAGAAGGATATTGGGTCTCACTTACTCCCCAGTGGGAGCTGGGCTGATGAGCTGCTTCACTGGAAACAGGGCACTGCTCTAACAGCCCCATACACTGGTCCCAAACTCATTGGAAGGAGCTCTCGAGCAGAGTCTGTTAGGGTCGTGCTCCCAGGAAATAGGTGGGGGTCATTCAGAAATAGGATAGAGATGAAGAGATATATACATACATGTAGAAACAGGCAGGCAGCAGGCAATYTCCAAATGCATTGCAGCAGGTTTTATTAATCCTAGAAAATCTAGGATTATCCTRGGATTTTTTATATATACGTTTTATTCACCATCTATAGGCATTTCTGATTAACTAAACCTACAGACAGTGCCCCTCTAGATGGGAAGGTTCAATGTCCAGAGATACAAAGCTCATACAGAGGTAATGAGCTGCCTGAAAAAAAAGGAGAATTGAGAGCAATTTGTGGTTCAAAGGAGCATTCTTGACCAAAAMCAAACACAATGTGTCAGACTTAGAGTGAAAAAGTCACTGTTTTATGCTGTACTTTCGTATTAGTAGAGCAGTGATTTAAAACAAGACAGCATGATACCTCTTTTTTTGTATTATTACTCTTTGGCGGCTTAAGACTGGAGAAAGCTTCTGAATCCTGGAGATTTCACACAATTAAAGCACTACGTAGCCTTTCAGATATTTATAATCTGTGAAAACCATTCTACACTTATGTCAGTCCTAACACTCTAACTTATTTGGTAGTCTCAGTAAAACAGTCTGATTAGTGACAGCGTCTATCAGCAGCAGCTAAGGAGTCAAGATATTTTTCTGAGAATGGATAATTCATGTTTTTTTTTTCCAAATAAGTCATTATTAGCTAGTTTGATTTTATTGTAAAGGCTTTAGATTAGTATTTTTGTTACTTAAATTATCACGTGCTCCAGAGGTTTGCTTAGATACGCTGAGAGCATTTTACATTTTCACTGTTCTTATGAGTCTGATTTCAGATAAGCCTAAACCTGCTCATTAATAGATRTCAGCTGTTCCTTCAAATGGTTTCTGATTACCAGAGAAATATTTGTTTCTATTATTCAGTACATAAAAAACAGCCAACCCCCCCAAAATACCACCTAGAATGCAGTTAATATTTACACTTTTGCATTGTTTGGTTTAACGGCTGAAGAGCAGGAGGCTTCTCAAGTAGATTTAAAAAAAAATGTTACAAGCTTTTGTATTTTTCTCTTTCTGGGTGTGGTGTTTGATATTTTTCTAAAGTGGAGGCAGAATAAGAAGAACTATTTAACAAAAAGAATCAAGAACTGAAGTTTTTGCGCTTTTCTGAGGACTGCTGTAAAACCAGCCAAAACAAATGATCTGCCTACTTCCTAAAAATTACTTTACTATCAAGGTTATTTTGATATAATATCAAGTGAATGTATACTTCCTGAGCAGAGAACAGGCAAAATCCATTTAAGAACTTCCCTTGTTAGTAACATGTAAAGTTTAATAGTTCAGTGTAATTTGAGATGAACATGCAAAAGCATCAGGCCTCAATTCTGTCTTCTCTTGTTCTCTTTAGCTTCCTTTCTTATAGCAACAAGGTTTTTAGGTCATCCTGTGTTTCTCATTCCTTTGCTGCTAAAGTTAACTCTGGAGCTGGCTGGCTGATCTTAACCAAATATGATAGGGAGGTCAAACTAAAAGATGATTAAGCTCCTGAGAAATTCCTTGGAAATAACATGCTGAATGATGGGAAAGCGGAGTAATTCTGTGGAAGGGAGGTCTCCTGCATCAGATAGAAATAACAACAGGACGAGTTTCAAATGTTTCAACCAGCCGCTCCCGTTAGAGTTTACACTGTGAGTATCAAACTTAATCCCCAAGGAATTGTTAGTTTGTCTAAAAGATCCATGTGTCTCAAGTAAAGCACATACACCATTTCTTTCTTTTTGCTCATAGCCATGCACGGAGTCACAGGCTTTATTTGCCCTGTATTTATCTTTTTCTGACCACAGAATATCAATTTCTTCATGAAGGTTTTCATAATGCTCCTAATGCTGTACTTCAGATGTACTACACCAGGCAGTATATTCTGCATTGCACACATGGGAACCAAGGTACAGAGATTAAAGCAAAAAGGTAAATGGTACCAACTCACTTGGTATCAGAGGAGTGTAGGGCACAATTTTACTACACAATCTTGTTTAATTCAGAAAAAAAAATGCTTTGAACATGGAATGAACCAGATATAATCTTCTTAAAATGGTAGCATATAATTAGGTCATGAAAATCAAAACTTAACCTTAAGGTTAATTTAAGTATATGGTATTAAGTATAAGATTTGTTTTAAGTTTTTTTTTTTTTTTTTTGAAGTAGAATAATATTAATTCTTGCATAGATGTTAAGTGGGGTTTAGGATTCTGAGTCCAAACAGAGTTATCTTTTGAAGTTAATCAAATATCTAGGTACAGTGTTATAGTCTACATGGTATTAACAGAAGAGGGAGATAGAGACCCATACTTTGCCCACGTGTTTTCTATGTCCTAGACATTGGGAGCAGTAAGATTTAGGAATAACAAGTTCTGTTGCAACTTTGTGAGGAAAATATTTTGAAGTGGTTAGATCCTTTTGATTCTGGCTCCTCATCCTCTCCTGGTCCTCCCCTGCCCCAGACCCTGCCCCCAGAGTGGTCCTTCTCTGCGCTAACATGGCCCTARCTCATGCAGATTCTGCTTGTGCCCTGACCCACCTGTTGCTGCTGTAAAAGCAGAATCTTGTGTTTTGAACAAGCGATTTCACCTCCAGAATTACAGAAGAAAATGCATGGATATACGTGGATATACGGGCTAAGAATATGGCAGGACCAGTCTTAATAACCGGGGTCTCTCTACTGATGGTTCAGGCATAGAAGTCACATTAAATTATTTACACAAGGTGCTACCTGGCCTTTCTCTGCCAGGTCTCACTATTAAATTTAAACAAGTCAACCATTAACTATAATCATTTTGTCATTGGAGAGAAAAAAAAAATCCTCAGAAGTCAAACAAATTATAAATAAAACCAACTTCAGTTACAGTCCATTATGCTGGTTTYGCTAGTCTTCTAATAGACATTTGGGGGCAGTCTCTCATGGATCACTCAAATATACAGGTAACTCACAGCAGTTGTCTAATTCTGTAGTGGCCTTGTCTCCAAAACAGTGAAACTCAAGTAAGGATATCAGAAAGTGGTGCCAGAGCAGGTGAACCATGTTTGCTTTAGCACTGATGACTCGAACAGTTATACAGCAAGGAAAGGCAGGTGATGTTAATTAAGACGTAGCAGTTCACTAGGAGACTTTGAAGGAAATTCCCTAATGTTTGAGTGGTGGTTATTGTTGGATACCAGATTAGCTTTTGTTCCCTGATCAAGAAAGAGCCAAAAACGTTTGGGACACAAACCATCTCATCCAAATTTAGCTCCCTAGAAGTTAGGTATCAAGCACAAGTTAGTAATTTAAACTCGCCTCGTGGTTAGTGAAAAGAGCTAGAAGACTGCAGAGCACTTCATCTTGTCAGAACTTTTCCACTGGCTGTTATGTCGGATGTGTGCTGTGCTATCCAACAGCCAAAAAAAAAAAAAAAGTATTTTATAGCAGTGTATTTCAATGTCTTCAATGTCTAATTGAAATCACTATATGGAAAAAAAAAATGGCATCTATTTCTTTGGTACAATTTTCAATACTGTTTTGCTCAAGGTGTTGAACTTGTGCTTCTCGGGACCTCTCACCTTTTCAGTGTTTTCTTTTGCTTGTGGGCAGGCCTGTAGAGGAGTGAGTTTCAAGGGGCTGACACATGAGCTAGAAGGGCGAGTGCTGGGAGGGAGGCTGCCCCGAGACACCAAGAATGCCGCCTGCCCTGTTCTCTGGGTGGGAGGAACGTGCTCTGCTCCCACCTCTGCTTCCCCGGGGCAGGCGGCCGCGCCGCTGCCAGGCCTCGCTCAAACCAGGCGGCCGTGACAGCACCAGGCCTCGCTCACACAGGCAGCCACGCTGCTGCCAGGCCTCGCTCCAACCAGGCAGCCATGGTGCTGCCAGGCCTCGCTCAWACAGGCRGCCASGMTKCYGCCAGGCCTCGCTCAAACCAGGCAGCCACGGTGCTGCCAGGCCTCGCTCAMACAGGCAGCCACGCTGCTGCCAGGCCTCGCTCCAACCAGGCAGCCATGGTGCTGCCAGGCCTCGCTCAAACAGGCGGCCAGGATGCCGCCAGGCCTTGCTCAAACCAGGCGGCCATGCTGCTGCCAGGCCTCACTCAACCGGAGTGCTGCGGTGGCTCGCATGGGGCTGCCATCTTCTCTATTCCTGCCATTCAGGCAGGACTCTCAGCATCTCTTCAGGTTATGATATGTGTGCTTTAAACGTATGTAGAGCACGTTTGCTTAAGTGAACCCAAAACACTTACTTGCTTGAAGATCATATGTGAAAGTGGCCGGTCAAACTGAAGCCAACCTTAAAAACACAGAATCCCAGAATGGCTGAGGTTGGAAGGGACCTCTAGAGATCATCTGCCCAACCCCCTGCTCCAGCAGGGACACCCAGAGCACAGGGCGGCATCCAGGCAGGTTTGGAGACCTCCAGAGAAGGAGACTCCACAGGAAGGAGACTCCACTTCTGGGCAGCCTGTGCCAGGCCTCTGTCACCCTCACAGGGAAGAAGTTCTTCCTCATCTTCCCGTTTAAATGCATTTGAAAGCAAACTATTACCTATTCTTMATGTGTGGAGAAGTTTTTGTCTCTCTGTCCTGGATAGTTTATTGATTATCTATTAGCAGATAATGAATTCAGAGTTAATACGAATAATTTCACATCAGATAGGTTTTACCATTTGCCAATATTAATCAGTTATAGTATTAAAGATCTTTGCTATACACAAATAGTTTACTTAACWGAAGTACTATTAAGCAGAAAAAGACTTGCAAATCATCTTTGGCATTTAGGGAATATGTGTTTCTTCCCCTTAACTGGAAGCATGAAGTTAGATATGGCCTGAAACATTTTAAAATTACCAGTTTTCTCTAAAGCTAAATAAATTTGTTTTCTGAAGTTGTTTCAACAAGGATTTTTTTTCTAGAATTTCTTTAATATTTAAACTGAAACTTTCTCTTGTGCAAAAACAAAAAAAAGGTTGAATCAAAATCTACTTATTCTATGTCCACAATAATGAATGTTCTTTTTTTTTTTCTTGGTCCTAATAGAGTATGTTTTAACTTTTTTTTTTTTTTGGTACCATTTTATTCCAAAGCTTTTTCTCAGAATCTTTAAACCAGAGTGGTGGAATGTTCCTTGAAAGGAGTTTATGATGGTTTACTTTTGATTTTGCCTTGCTCCCTCTTTTAGGAAAGGTTTTATATTTTGTATTTACAATCTACAGTTGCAGATTGTAAATGCAATTTGCAATGTTTGTAAATGGATTTGCAATTACAGTTGCAAATCCAATACTGTCTTTGCTTAGCACAAACCATAATGGTGAGTGCCTCTATTCAGGCGTCTTCCATGATTGTGCAAAAAAATCAGAAGTTATGAAGCTGCAAGGCAGAATTTACGTGTGAACGTTCAAGGGTAATAAAAATGATGTTATCTTCATTGGCCCTTGTCACTCCTAACAGAAAAATAAAAGTATGTGGGCTGTATTTCTTCATCCATCATTTATATGTCACTAATGGTAAGTATTTCCTAAAATCAGGAAGTGACAAACAGTCATAAAGAACYCTAGCGTCAGAATGATAAGTTTTAATAATTTTTCTGATGACAGCCTTGGTGTCCATGTTGAGGTGTAGCTGCTGTGGTGCCTTTCCTGCTCTCTGTTCCTGCCTCTATCCATCACTTCCAGTCCCATCCCTTGTGTTTGATCGTCCCATCCATCAGTGTGGTCTGCGGGAGTCCTGCTGATGCCTGCAGCCCTAGGGCTCGGGCCTTGCCGCTAACCCTCCGGAGCTGCAGGAGAAAAGGAAAAAACATTTGTTCTAAATAAGGTGGTTTTTTAAAAGTTTTTTAGTAATTCTAAATAATGATTGTCATTGTACTACATAATGACTTTTTTTTTTCAGTTTTTCTGTGCTTTGAATTTCATGAAATTCCTGCTTAGAAAGCTGACCTTTCTGGAAGCTTCTCTTTATTGTGGGAAATGGATGTTTATGACTGTTGGGTTTGGGTTGAGAGAGGAATGTGGTGAATCCAGTGGTTGCATGTTCTTCTCTGTATATCATTACAAACTCGGTAAACCTGCCAAGAGGAAAACAGGAGAATGGAGAAAGTGCACAAGTTAGGACTTCTTRGCCTATGCACCTGACACTCTGTGTCTTTGTGTCTGAATTTGGGGTTCTCTATACATATTTTTAGTGTCCAAAGTTGCAACATTTACTTGTCCTGTTTACGTAGCTGGTTTTKATTATTTCCCTGCTCAGCGTTCATTAGCTAGTTGAGCTGGTTGCCAAAAGGAAATCCTTTGTTGCTGATCTTATTTTAAAATCTTCTTTTGCAATGTTTTACAAGGGTGGAATGCTATTTTGATAGCTCTGTCTCAATAAGTTTAGTTGTTCACATTTGGGGRTATTCTTGTTTTTCAAATACTGGCAAGGCAATGTAGAAAAGTACAATAAATTTCACAAAATAAGTTAGCTTCCTTCATAACAAKTAATAGTCTGTGCCTTTTTTAGTGGGCATTGATGATCTGTATTTCCCTTCCCTTTAAACCAGATTTTGCTCAATACTTCAAAGAATTGTGTAACTAACAGCAAATCAGTGAAAAWTAGTGTAGTCCACAGAAATGCCTGTACATTTAGAATGATTCTTGAGAACAAAGCCTTACAGGATCAGTTCATACATTTTCTTCTGTCTCCTCAAAAGTCATTTTCTATCCTCTGTTACCTTCAGAGTCAGAGAAGATGTTTGAAGCAGCTATAGAATGTAAATATATCAGCTGTGATTTGCATGATTTCCATCTACTTTATTAGAAAATGGCAATCTTTTATTTAAATATTAAAAGGAGAAATGCATCTAGTGACYCCATCGTTTTTTGTGTGTATTAAAATATATATGAGAAAGTTCAAGCTGTTCAACGATTGTATTCCAGTTGTCTTAATTATATATCTGCTTTTATTTGTCTTACAGAAATCCTGTTTATTATATGACTTAGATGTTGTGGATCTAAGTGAAAGTAAGAAGAGAACCTGCTGTGCATTATGAAATACCATTTCATCTGTTATTCTATTTTCTCTTTAGAAAATATTGACGAATGTGCAAAGGATGGATGTTAAAAGGGAGCCTTAGTCCCAAAATACAATATTTGGGCATCCTTTGCACTACACAAACTTGTCTGCCAAATACTTTGATATTTTATATACTCTTTTCATAATTTTAAAATGAAGTTAAATTTGTATGAGTTTTGAATGTTACAGGAGGAGAAATGTTTGCACAAATTAGGTGTATTATTTTTTCATATTAAAAGAAAAAACTACCTTAACATTTTTGTGTTGTTTATACCATACTCACCATGAACATAATCATACGGACAAGCTTCCCACATATGAAATGACTTATGCTATCCTCAAGATAACATCTCTTTGAAAGGCTGATATTCACTGGCTCACTAAGTAGTGCYCTAACATAACATTCTGGGAATTCATGGCCTTTTTTCTTTTATGCCCATTTTAGAAATGTWTGTGTTACTTGAATACCCTTGAACAGGAAGGCTGCAAAGATGAAAGCTGAAAGGGAAGAAGAAACTACCTACAATACCTTTATGTTACTGAGCCCTCTTTAGAGAGCAGAAAACATGGAAAAGTGTGATCCAGTAGTCATTTCTTGCTGATAAAAAGTTATCTTATAAGATAAATCAAAAAGGTTTTATCAGCATACCTGCGTTTTCAAGTGTTTGATTAGTTTGTTTCTTTTGTCAGAAGTGATCACAATACTAAAAAGATACGCAGTGTGCATTGATGTTTTTAGTGTTTGTTTTTTAAGAGTATAAGCACCTCCAGGTCTGCTCATTGCATCGCTCTGGTGCTTCTTTATAGCTAACTTCAGTGGAGGATATCAGATTTTAGTTAAATTTAATGAGGGCAGAATCAGGATGTTGGATTATTCTTCTTTAATTAAAAGCAAACCCAACACAATCCAAACCTGCAGGACACCCAGAAAGCAAATGCAAACTGTGAAATGTGAAGAATTGCTGGAATTGTGTTGTCTTGTTATTCTCCTTATTATTGTTGGTCTGGGAGATGTGGTGCTTCGTGATTGTTAGGCTGCTACACCATTTGTGAATGAATAATACTACCGTGCCAAAGTATTGTGAGCAACCCCAGCCCAGGCAGAGTAACTCCCTTGGCTTATTGTTACTCCTTCTCGTTACTGCTATATATAACTCTAAATGACTGCTCTCCTGGAATATGTCTGGCTCTTTTGAGGGCTGTTCTGAAATTCACCGTTGCTGTTGAGGTGCAGAACTCGCCTGAGTGCTTTGGGAAGCAGGAGGCTCCACACGCTGCTCCCAGCTGCTGCCGAGGCTGCTCCTCAGGTAKGGTTTGGATCAGAGTCTGAAAAACAGGAACAGATGGTTATCCTTAGATGCAAGGAAGCAAATGAAGGAAGTATTCCTGGAAAAGACCTTGAGTGTTGAGTTCTTCCTCTTATCCTCGTCCCAGATCTGCCATCCATGCCCGTTGTAGGAAGATGTTTGTGTGTAAGGACCTCTAGTCATGGAGATTCCACTCTCTCCGAGCAACTTCCTGAGCAATCCTTACTGAACTGGTTCTGCAAGTAGGAAGTTTTCCTAAACTAACTGGTGCACATGGAAAGCAGGTTCTCTCTTCTTGTTGTGTGTGAATACCACTGTCTGCCCTGTCTCCTCTAGACCAAAGCATTCCAGTCCCTCCTACCATTCCTTACAGTTTGAATAGTCTATATCCTTTGATGTTTTTGTTGCTTTCCTCRTGGTACTTTTGAGTTAGTCTTCCATACTGTACTACAGAGCTCAGAACTGAATGCCCTACCATACTCCACTTTAAATAATGACAGCTGGATAGATTAAAATGAGGTCTTCATTATCTTATCTGTGATCCTCCTATTTATACATTCCAGCCTCAACCTAAGATAACCTGGCATTGCTAACTGCTCAGTTTCTGATGCAGGATGTCTCTTTTCTGAAAAACTGCTTATTCAATCTGAGACTTGTTTGTGCTGTTGATTATTCCTTCATATGCATAAAACTTTGTATTTCTCCTCATTCAGTTGCATTTCATTTTCTCCCAATTGCCAAGATCCTTCTGAATCATAATTCTGCCTTTCAGCATAGTTGCAGCCCCTGCCCGAAGATGTGCTCTTCAAATATGAGTAAGTCACCTAAGATGTTCATAAAAATACTGAATTGTATAAAAATACTGAATTGGACCCAAGACATTCCATCTCAGTGGAATCCCATGTGATATGGCCTCCAACATTGGGAGGATAAATTATTTTAAAATAATTTTGTGCTCATTTTATATTCTTTTCAGGACCACATTGTCTTCATGTAAGAATACCTTATATGAAACCCTATGACCTTCACTCTTGCTGCCCTATCCACAAAGCCTGTTGAGCTCTCTCCTTCTTTCCACCCTGTAGGAGAGATGCACTGGTTGACTTTTCCAAATTTCTGGAACCTTATTCWTTCTCTATTGATTCTTGGAGATAATCACTAGCAGCTATAATGTTACTTGGAGCAGTAATTTCATCAGGTCCYGCCAATCCAAAAATCTTTAAGCATTTTCCAATCTATTTCTTTATTATTATAACCCAAGCTCTTGGTCTTTTGTCAGTAGTGCTAGTGGTTGAACCACATTGGCCTTCTTAATTTGAAAGCTGAAGTTAAAAAAAGGTATTGAGGATATTGGTGTCCGGCTATCAGCAGTGACTGGACTCCCTTCATGGAGTAACTCTGGCTTTTTCCATGGTTCTCTCACTGTGCATTTTTCCAACCTCCAGCACTCTAACATCTTTTTCGTCTTTTAGTTTCAGTTGTCTCACATTCTGAGACTCTATCTTTCTGATGTTGTCTGTACATGTTCTATACATTTATACATATTCATATTTTAGTAATTTGACCTACTTTCTACTTCGTTTCAGGTCACCGAGGTTCTTATGATTCAGCCAAATGAGTCTGTTACTTCACTCTCCTTCCTCTGCCTTGATCTAATTTTGCTACTTTGCCTTCAGCAGTAGATCTTGAAGGAACTTTAAGCCATCTTGAACTCACAGAAGCTTAGCTATTCATTCTCTTGAGTCTGCATTTAGTTCTTTGTTTTTATGTTGCTGTTTTTCCCCCTTCTTTCTCTTAAGACCTAACCTGTGTTTTCTATTCTGTTTTCTGTTTTCTGTTTCTGCTCTCCATGCCCTGTGTTAGGTGCTGTCCAGTCATGGGCCTGCCCGAGGGCAGTACGAGCCTTTAGGTGCCCAAGCCACAGGAAGGGTTTGCAGGAGGCTCCTCCCTGCTTCAGCTGAGGCTCCAGGTAGTTGGGTTCCTCTCCCCTTTGCATCCCTTGTTCTCCTGCACAGAAACAACTTCTGCCTTTTTCTGAGCACAGGCACCGACTGTATTCAGGGTCTGTCTCCACAGGAGTGTCTCGCTCTGAATAGACAGGACAAAACCAACCAACCAACCAAACACCCTGCCGAARTGCAGCTACACAGAGTGTTTGGAGGCGTTTAGAAATAAATTAGAAATAAAAAAGGTTGCAAGGTGAGAGCATTATCTTCATTTAGTTTTGAATTCTCTCTAGAGATAGCTGGATGATTGTCTCACACATTTCTACGGGTAGAATTTTTAGAAGAAATGGGGGTTTGAATGAGGTGAGAATGGCTCCTAGGCTGAAATAGAAGATAAAAGATGAATGTACACACCAGAGACCCTTAGGTCTCTTTACATTACCTTGTATGAGCAAAGATTGCTTGGATTTTCCCGATAAGACAGGAATAGCATTTGCTTTAAAAACATGAAATACACAGACATCAGCTATAGCAAATATGCTGTTCTCATTCAACTTTCCACCTCATCTCCAAGAAGAGTGTAGGATCCAATTCCAAAATAATCACTGCATCTCCTCTTATTTTCCTTTTTTTTTATTTATGCTGAAAATAAGGTCTGATAAATGCAAATCACATTCAGGAAGAAGAAAGGCATTTCTTTTTTCCTTATTTATTAAAAAAAAATGTTTGAAATGGCTGCACAGCTAGATGTGAGTTTTCTGTATAAGACACATAGTTTTATTTGGTGTGTTCATATTGAAGTGTAAATCAAGTTACTAGACCTGTACTAAGCAAAGTTTTATTTTAAGCAGCTCAATTTCAAATGCTAGCCTAGATATGAATGGATGATAGTCTGAAAATCTTTATTTTTTATTTTTTACTGGCAATGCAGTAAATATATTAGAGATTTTATAGCTAAACCAACATGAAACATAGTCAATTCAAAGTGAACAGTTTCAGAAATTTTTATGAGCCTCCCTGCCACTGCTTAATTTTATAACTACAATTTCCTTTAGATACAAAAAGACGATCCCTGAATGCTGTCTGAAAGACACATACGCAAAAACTAAGGTGAACTAAATAACTGAGGCCCTGATCCTGAAATGGATCTGCTAACATTTATTTCTGTAAAAGCTTATATTTACTTCACTCGTATTTTGCAAATGTGTAGGAGACTTGGCAAGAGATCACACTAATGGTCTGAGGCATAGCTAAACATCAGAGGAATAATTTTATCTAAAGTGTTCATTATACATAAGATGCAGCTAAAACAAGGAATAGGCACAGATTCTATGCATTTGTGATTTGAATACCGTAGATGTCATATTAGAATTTATTTCAAGAAGGCCCAGCTGTAACATAGTTAGGGCACCCAGCAAAGTCATGCTAAGAGTTGTAGTGAAATAGTTAAATACTGTTAAGTTTTGTGATMTTAGTTTGCATGAGCATGTTCTGTGTATTTATTATTTGTAAAATGAAATTTAAGCTCTATCTAGAATTTACATTTTTAAAAATGCATTGTCTTCAAATAAAATGGGAAAGAGTAAGATAGGTTCCCACAAACAGAAAGCAAACAAACATGATCAGATGAAGGCAGGCTGAAAAGCTATATGACATAAAACTGAGTGAAGAAGAAGGAGAAATTGATCTTGAAACTTAAAATAGCAATAACTATTATTTCATGTGTGGAGGATACGTCTTTCTTCCCAGAAAGCAGAACTGCATGATGTTTGAGAGAGGCACATACTGAGACTGTCTCTGTGCTGTAATTGATGTTGGCTAAGATTGTGCCCCAAAAATGACTCTGGACAGACTAGTGCGTCAAGTCCTGGACAATCCCAGCCTGGCCTGCTCTGCTCTACCCCATACACCACAACCAGTAACCTTGCCAAACCTGAAAAAAAAAGGCAGAACCATTCTTTGGCATTCCTATTTCAT